AAAAAAAAAAAAAAAAAAAAAAAAAAAAGAATAAGAATTGAAATCTGTACAGTTTTGGCTTCCAGAAATCCAGGTTTGACTTTAAAGTTCTTTGGTAAAGTTTCTTCACATCTAAGTCTTGCCCATCACTTGCTTATTCTATAGTTTTAAGATACTTTAATGCTTATCATAACCTGATTTCAATATTATAAAAAGTATTTTTCTCTAATAAAGCATTATATAAATGAGTTTGTGTCTTCCTGTTCCTTTTGCTGTGTGAACTTTGTACATAAAAGTATTTTGGTATTGTGGGAAGAGCAAGGTCTTTGAATTTGCACAAATCTAGATTTAAATTTTGGTCCTACCACATATATTGCTTTGCATATTTATTTAACCTGTTTGAGTCCCAGTTTCCTGCATGGTATAATGATATAAAGCTTTTATGGAGATTAAATGAAGTAAGTTATGTAGGATACGGCACAGAATAATCATTCAATACATTTTATTTCCTTGTCTTTGTAGTGATTTGTATTTTCATCCTAGCCTTGCAGTCTATATTTAACTTTCCTAGTGCAGATTCAGTGCCACATGAAAAGTAGATGATGTTTCTACTAGGTGCCTGGAGGCTTTTGGCTCTTGAGACCCTTAACACTTTATTTTATTTTCCATTTTCTCAATCATATATAAACTAGTTCTCTCTAAATCATTCTGAGGTGTTAATAAATAATATACTGAGAAGTGATCCTTTGTGACAGAAAGCAACTTCTAAATATAGGGATTCCAGTGGTCTCTGTCGTGCATGTCACTGAAATAACTTTCTGTTACCACCAACTGGGAGACTTGAGGACATTTCTCTCAAAAGCTATTACCACCATGAATCACTACCTTGCTCATCTGTTCTCTGAAGTAGCATCCAAATTAGTAAGGCGGGTGAAACATTTCAATGAATGAAACAAGGCTTGTAACAGGGTTAGGGAATTTGGGGTATTAACCACATATAGAATAGACAATTATTAATCTTATCTAGCTCAGTTGGTTTGACTCAGCCAAACCCACACATTTTTATTCCCTTCCAATTGGCCTCTTCAGTGTATTTGAATGCAGTCTTTTGTATTCTTGCTCCAAGTGTGAGCTAATTCTCTGCTTGCAGAAGGTAATAACTAAAGAAGCAAAGTCCTTTTATGTCTGAAAAATAAACTTGCTCTACAGATTCAGGTAGGCACTACTTCTGAATTGGGCGCATCCTCTAGACAAGGCCTATAGCATTGGCTTTGATAGGTCTTTGGTGTGTTTCCCTATATAAATCTCCCCAAATAACCTTCATCTGTTTCTGTTTGAGGACCTGCCAGCCACCTGATAGCCTTGGCATGTTCACGGCCATTATGGTTATCTTTTTGCTCTCTGTTCTCATTTACTATAAAATGATAATACATATCTTCAGATTGCCTTCCAAAGCATAATCATTTTTTCACTTCACATATCTATCTTCATATCTACATTTTTTCTCCTGTCATTACATCCTTCTTGAATTCTGTTGGTCCCTGTATGTCCCTGATGGAATGTTAGTCTTACATGGCCACATGATATATGTCCATAAAGTCTTCTTGTTCTATCCATGAAGATCTGTTTCGCTTCTCTCCCCCACATATGCAATTCTCTTTACCTGTTGCTCTCTGGTAGTCATGTTCTTCTCCTGTGTGTTATCCAACAGGTGCTTAGTTTCAACCACATGCCAGTTACTAAACTAGGCACTTAGAATACAAAAGTGAGCAAGAGAGAATACCTGCCATTTGGGATTCTGGGATGGGTAGATAGGGCATGTAAAAATAACTGTCAGTAGTCCATTGAAACAAACATGGTGAGGGGATGTAATAAGGCAACTGTAGATTGTTTCTCAAAGCTCCTTAAAATGAACTCTACAGGGCTATTTTCTTCCCCTGGATGAAAACTTAGGAACTCTGAGTGTTATTCTCAGGGCACAGGACATTCTTAGATCTCAGAGCTTTCTCAGTTTAGTGGTTACAATGTCTTGTCCCATGGAGAGATTACAAATGTCCTTGTCTCTCACTGATACTCAGACTTGTCTCAGGTTGGTAGCTCAGGATTGAGAGATGGAGATTACATGGCATCTCCTTCTCTGACTTGCACTCCTAGTCCTCCACTTCCTATTAGTAGGTTTTTCTTTTCCCTTTGGGGTCAGTGCTGGGGTGGGGAGAGAAGGAGAGAGAGTTTGGGTCAAGCTGTTCTTCAACTGCCTTTCACCTCTGTGTTTTATGTGTTGTTATCTGGTCCTTGTGGCTGCTTAATGCTAGTGCTTGCTTTCATTCATGGTTTTCCAGAGTTTCCCTCTCCTGCAACTTCCGAGATTTTCCTGCATCAGTGACTTACACAAGGTCTGAGGATTTCTACTCCTGTTTCAGATAATCATTCCCTGTTCCCTCAGTCCCTGGAATCTGAGGATACTCCCAGGCTATGTCTGGTGAGGTCATTTGTACTTTGGATATCTTTCTAGGTCATGACATAAGATGACCACAGACATTCCTATTTCATATATTTGGCTGCATCTTGGCCAATGGAAACTTTCATGTATCCACGGTCCAGTCCTCTTCTCTTCCTATCCCCATCTACGATACTGGTTTACACACTGATGCCAATTCAGCAACAGCTTTCTTTCGTTCTTCTTCAAAGGAACCTGGCAGCCCACCTCTCAAAGTGTGTACTTGCCTAGTGAGAATGAAAGTGCAAGTCTGGCACCACACTGTCAAGGACAGAAGTTAAACCTTTCACTTGTCCTTTTATTCATTTATTTTTTTGGCACTAGGGACAGAACTTAGGACCTGGTGCTTGCCAGGCAGGCGGTGGAATCACTGAGCTAAATCCCCTGCCTCTACTTGTCCTTCGAAACTGCTCTCTTTTAACCATAGGCAGAGAATGAGCACCATGCCCTCTGTCTAATAATTTTGTCCAAAAAACCTTTTCAATCTCCACTGTCAATTGTCTCAGCTCTTTCTAAATTTTTAAAAGTCTTGTCATCTCAAGGACTATAAAACTAATTTTCTGCCATGTTAATTTTTTCAAATCTCACCATGAAATATGCCATCTATTATTTTCATGACCCAGCCAAAACACAGTATCTCAGTTTAATATCCAGTTACATAATTATATTAGAGTGTCACTGTCAGGAAGGGAGACTCATTGTCCTACTCTTCTTCCCATAGAGGGGGATGGTTTGATTGTTTTTGCTAGGAAGAGGGAATGCTTCCAACTTCTACTACCACGGAGCTGTAATAGTATAAAACTGGAGACGCTTTGGGCTACATCCCATGGGTGAATGGCCTAAGTTGTTCTGCCCACTTTGCTCTTTAGTTGATACTAGACAGCTCCATATAAAGGTATTGTATTTCAATCAGGTCTTTGTGCTTAGACTTGGCTGAATGGAAGACACATTAATAGGCTTCTCAAAACAAATCTTTCACATTGGTAAAATAGGTTCTGACTAACAGTGGATAAGAAAATTCTTTTTCTTCCACAATAATTCAATGTCCTCCAGAAAGATTTGGAATAAACAGGAACTTTGTTGACATTTTCCTTAGTCACAAGTGCTCTTTAAGGTGTATAATTAAAGTACTGAGCTTTATTCAGCACATTAAGCACAGTAATGGAACATTAGGTCTGTATCTAATGCACAGAAAGGTGCAAGACATTCCAGTTTGAGAGTTTAGCTGGAGCAGTAAAACGTGATGGGAAAGAACATCAGAGGACTGTTCCACAGTGGACTCATAAAGAAAGAAAGAGCACAGAGAATACAATGAGAATGGTCAAGAGTTGTTGAGCTAGTTTGCCCTGAGTTTTAAAAGTAAACTCCAATTCCATGTTCAAAAGCTTAGATTTATTCTCATAGGTGAAGAGTTCAAAAGCTTGGGCAAATATATGGGAGCAGATGAAAGTATGAAAGTTGATCTGAGAGATACACAAGGACATTATCTTAAGCCTGGAATCTGGAAGTGTAGAATGTCCTTGGACTGGACGGTAGAATAAGGATGGAGTCTAGTGGTAACATTTTTCTCTACCAGTTGCTGTGGGATATCCCTAGGGTTGAAATGGACTTATACATCTTCCTTTGTAAATGCATACTGAGTATTTGGTAAGCATATTAATAATTGTTAGCATTTATTTAATTTTATTTCATCTCATAAATAGTTACCAATCCTCACAATCATGAGGCAAATCATTCTTATATTTCCTTTATAGGTGAGAACTCAGATGCTCAGAGAAGGTAAAAAGTTTTTCTAAGTCTCCAAAACCATGACTGTGACCTGATGTTGTCTACTGTGATTTCTACGTAGTCTGATGATCAACTTTACCCATGCTGACCCCAATACAGAACTCCTTGAAATCATTGGAAACAGATTGACCTTACCTGTTTCTTGGATTGTTGATAAAAGATATGGTAAGAGAAGTGAGCTTGCATTATTACCTGATTTATCCTTCATTGTTTTATGAGGTTTGGTAAAATAATATGGTAAATCCTCACTTTTAAAAAAATTTATTATAGTAAAATATCCATTGCTATTAATCCCCCTCATTATGAAACATTTTCCCCATTCTTCTCTGAAGCAGTTGTGGAAGTCTCCACTGTAAGTGTCTTTAGTTATTCTGTTGTGGCTGTTTCAGTATCCCGAATTAATTCAAAATGTACTTTTTATGTCATTTTGACTTTGAGGGAGAGCCAAAAGTTGCATGTGCCAGACCTGGTAAATAAGGTAAATGAAAAGAGTCTGCCTTTGTGTTGGGTTACAGGCAGAAGTCACATTCACCAAATTTTTCATCATATTTCATGAAGACATGAAAGAGGGCTTCCAGAACTACTTCAGAAAGTGGCCAAAATGATGGAATAAGCATGTCTGAAAAGGGGGATGGTTTGGAGGAGGAATAACGACAATATGTCTTTTACTGTAATAAACTTTCAACAATCTTAAACATTCACCGTATTGTATCTTTTGAGCACACCTCATAGAAATACACATTGGAAATATTTCAGTCTGTATGGAGACTATTACCATGGTAGTGTGAACTGAACAGCTTTGGGTGTAGTAGGGCAGCAAGTGAAAGAGACACTGGGGAAACACATGCTGGGATTAAGACATGATGTCTGGCCACACTCCAGCATCTTCTGCAAGTTGGTGGTAGAAAGTGGCCCTGGTGAGTGTGTGAGACCGAACAGTGCCACTTGGTGAGAATCATAGAAAACACTATTTTGTTAGCAATTTTATCTAATCTTTTCCTAACAGATTTTTGAAAGCAAATTTAGCTCCATGTAGAAACCACACCCACAGTTTTTGGCTAAATACTGAAACCATAACAGCTAATAAAAAAAAGAGTAAATTGAATTTCAGAACATGTTAATTTTCTCTAAAGATGCAATCTAATAGCCATGACTTTTGACATGTCTGGTCCTCTCTCCCATGACTAATTTACCCTCAGGTAGAATCTCTGTAATCCATTACTTCTAGACTGCCACCTTCCATGGCTGGTCTTGTATGTCTGTGTTCTGTTGTATCTTATGTTATGTCTAGTTTTCTTTTTTTTTTAACCTTTTCTTTTAAACAATAATTTAAAAACACTCTTCCATTTTTAAAAAGTAGTATCTCTTGAAAGCCACATACTGTTTCCCGAAACCTTTCATAGGTGGTGATTTTACTTGGTAGGAATGAAACTTGCCCTCCATTCCTGGAAGATGCCTTTGCCACTGACTGTCACCAGAGGAAGAAGTGAAAGGGTACTCCTACCCCTCTTTCCCTCAAAACTTGAAAAGGTAAGAATGAAGACTTCTACAGTGTTAAATATTTTGGCATAACAAATGTGGACAAAAGACGGAAACGGTATATAGTTATCAATCAGAGAAAATCAGCTGTCTTGGATAAATAAAACTAAAGTACTAGGATATACGTTTTAACTATATAAAAACTATGAATACATTCAGAAATTATCTAGAATCTACATTTAGGAGCTAACAAGTATTTTCTTCTGACATGGTAATGGAATAAGGCTATAAAATGAACAGTCAAAATGTGTACAAATTCAGTGGCTCACATAAATCGATTTTTGATCTATGTGCTTGGTTACAAGACATTCTCCATTTGGGAAGATTGTTGCAATCTTCTTGGTGGGCAAGAAATATACTTTTCCTGCACAATATTTCAATATCTCTCAGGGTAGTTTGAAATAAATGGAAACCTTGTTGACATTTTCTTCAGATAGATGTAAAATTGTTCCTGCTAAACATTGCTAGTTTCTGCAACTGAGAGATTTCCCTGGAAATTCTTGTCAGAGAGGACTCCCTTTTGCCTTCAGAAATAATGGTTTTTCCCTTGCACATACCTTTAGAAGCACAGTTCAGCCTCTGAACACTCAGGACCATCTCAAAGTTCAGCTCAGTCAACCTTAGGAAGGTCAGTGAATTACTGGAGGAGGCTGGTGGGCGGTAGGGGTGGGGGCTGCAATTTCACCACAGCCCCAGCTTAGATGATTCAGTTTCTAGTGGCAACAAGCTCAAAGTTCCTCTGTGAGGTAGGCCCATAATTAAATGTTAAAATAAAAGCACTTTTCTGTGAAGAAGCACACTCTTCCCAAGTCTTAAGTTCGTATTCATCTTCAGAGTTCCCAGAGTAGGAGAATATTGTCTTAAGATTCTACAGGTAGGATATGATTAAGATAATGCCTTGGGAGGCTGAGAGTGGAGGATTCCTTAAGGCCATGAGTTTGAGGTCAGTGTGGGCCACATAGTAAGAACCTTGTCTCAGTAAACAAATTAACAAACAAAAGAAAAGATTATGCTTTTGTTACAGACTTTTAAATCTGTGCTGTTTCCCCCACGTAAGCGGTTGATGGCTCTCGGCAATCAGATCTGTATTTTGGGTCCATGTTAGTACCCACATATTGCCAACATTTTTCTGGAGTCACCTTGCAGGAGCGGGGACCCAGGCAGCGAAGCACGTTAGTGGTAGGACGTTCCCTAGAGTTACTTGGTGATGATGTGAAGAGCCTTGCACACCAGACTAGCTTCTGTGTGACAGAGGCAGGCGGCCCCTCCTGGAGGCAGTGAGATAGAAATTCAGATCTGTGGGTGACTGACTGCACGACAGCATGTGCAGAAAAGGAAATCAGGAAATCATAACTGTAGGGGGAGAAGAAACAGTGAACCATAGAAATAAGCCAAAGAATGATAACAGAACAGAAAGGGCAATTCAATAGGTGTGGTCACACAGCTGGGGGCCTCCCTTAGGATTTCAGTTCTGTGCTGATGCTGTGAGACCTAGGGATGACACTGAACTTCTCCAGGCCTCAGTTTCCCCTCAGGTGTGTTCTTACCATGTGGTTCATGAAATAGTTTATAATTCTAACATTCTAGTGTTCAATTTCCTCTGCACTCCTATTTTGATATTCAATATGTTGATAGATTTTATTATGTTCCTTTTTTATTAGTATACATTTGTGTTACAGAACAATTCCATTCATTGTGAAGAACTGGTACATACACATATCACCTGTTGATCCTTTTTACTTCCTGTCTGTTCCTTCCCCAGATTCACTTCCCCAGATTCTATCTCCATAGAGTCTATCTCTCTGTTTTCTATCACTGACATTCCATTTTGTTCTTTAAATTTATCCGGGCAAAATATAGATGGGTCTTGATTTTAATGACATACTGTAACGATTTAGCAAGAATATTAGTTAAAAAGTGGCCAAGAAGACTTAAAATTCACAAAATTCTTCAGTCTCACAAACAAATATGTAGGTTCCTAGCCTTCCTGATTAGCAAAACCAGAGGAAATGCAGAATACAACCTGCCCAGAAAAATCCTCTCTGTGCCAATTATCTAAGGAAGTTAGAAAATGTCCTCCCAAAGCTCAAGACTATATTAATACCTACTACATATTTTCAGTGGTTGCTTCATGAATATTCTAATGTAAATAAGATGCTTTCCTTTGATTATTAAAACTAATAGGGAGAAGTTATTGGCATAATCCAAAACTTCCGTGAAAACTCAATTACTGTTACCCGCTGAGCCATAATTTGGAAAAGAACAAAACAAGTAAAAATGCAAATAAGTTTCCTGGAATAAGCAAAGACTTTTGCATCAATAAAACAAAAATCACTTCATCTAGACAAGGTATAAACTAAAGATTCATACCACATTCCCATGTAGCCCCCTCCTTCTCAGGTGTTTTGAGTTTTTCTTAATTAGTAAGGAGCTTTATGTTAATGGGTAGATGAGCATGAGTCTGGAGGTTAGGAGAGTTTGGGTTGGGGATTGCATTCTTTCTTTATTTTACTCTGTGACTCTTGGCACTCCCAATCCCCGTGACTTTGTCTCCATATGTGTTGAAAGTAAAGAGAAAAAGGCCAGGGATTTAGCTCAGTGGTAGAGCACTTGTTTAACATGTATCAGGTCCTGGGTTTGATCCCCAACAGTACAAAAATAAGTAATATGGGGGTAATAATACTGACAGAACCCATGTGAAATTGCAGTTTGGACTTTAGAAGACCTAGAGCTTATGATTTTCTAGAAAACATAAATGATTATTTCTATTTGATTGAAGGTTCTGGCCAAAGTATTATCCATAAGTGTGTACAAAAGTACTGTAAGAGCTGCCACATTGACATGTGCCTATAATCCCAACTACTCAGGAGGCTGAGGCAGGAGTATTGGGAGTTTGAGGCCAGCCTGGATAGCATAGCAAAATCAAAGTTCTTTTATATTTCCTGGAATTACTGAAGATGTTCAGTCATGCTTATGATCTTTTAGTGGGTTAGATTCACACTTTATCCCCTCAAGTCAACCTCCTCACCTTGTAATCCCTCCACGAGGCTAGATGCCAATAAAAAGTGAAAAGTCAGGAGTTGGAAAAATCTCTAAAATAGATTCTGAAGCAAGACTGTACTGGGGAATAAGACCCCTCCTCAAAGAACAAATGTTAAGTAATGTGGTGATGTTTTCAGAACTTCATTAGTCCAGTCGTCTTCCATTTAAGTCGTAGTAGAGTCAGAAGCCAGAGCCCTGCCCCTTCTGGCTGTTTCCCAGTTGCTTCTGATTCCTCCCATCCCAGTGAAGAGGCAGAGGAGGTGCTAACTATTGTGGGCTGTGGCAGCTATGGAGGTGAGAGGTCCTTTCAATGAGAATATCAGTGAAGGAAGTGCATGCCTCATTTCTAAGTTCTCACCTCTTCAATATACTTCAAAAACTTCATGATATTTAGCGTATGTCATAGAAGCATGATGATATTCGTTCTTATCTCAATTCCCATATCCTATTTGAAAGTGGGAATAAGTTGGTTTTCACCCATCATAAATATTACTTTTTGGGTAAGACTGAGCTCCCGAAAAAATGTGAGCTAATAAATCCCACTGTCATGGCCTTAAGATCAGAGTTTTATGAAAGTTTCTCTCAGTTTATCAAAGTTCTCACTGTGTGAAGGAGGACAAGTAACTTCATACATCATAGAGCTCATGATTTTTCTTGTGGGCACGTGATATTCACTTATAAGATCAAATGTGTCAAGGCACATCCAACTGATTTTTTTCCACATCATGGAGAATCTGGCTTCTTGTTAATTGCAGCAGCAGTCTCAAAGCTTTTATAGAATCTTTCGTAAGTTATATTAATAGTAATGATGGTCTTTTATTAATAATGCATAATAACAATAGCTCTCATTAAAACAACATCAGTTAAATGATTAGAGAAATGGCTAGAGTTGTGGTTAGAAAATGGGCTCCTAGACATCAATACTACTGAAGTAATTTATTTTTCTCCTATAAACAGAAATAAATATAATGACCGATTAAGATTTAATAAAATTCTGCTACAATTGCATCACTGCAGACTAGGGTTTTCATTTGTGGGAGAATCTTTAGTGGTATTATATGATGCGGGCGGCATCCTGAGAGAAAGAACAGAAAACAAAGGATTATTTTCCTGACATTCCTTTTCCCTTCCTTCCCTTACCATCAGTAGCAGAGATGTGAGCCTGAGGCTTATTTTCTAGTCCTGGTTTTGTTACAGAGTGCCAGGTGACCACATGATCATGATCTTGAGGCTCAGTTCCTCAAAAATGAAAGGATTACAGGTATGGGTAAGGGTAAAACTTTCCTTTAGATTGTAAAACTGCTTTTGATGCTTTGTGAATCTCTTTCTAAACACTCCCCTAAAGATGATACCCTTCTTTCTTATATTCACCCCTCTGTTCTCCACTTCTCTGCTTCCACTGGGTGGATCCCACCCTTTTCACATGCTGAGTGCTTAAGTTATCTTCTTAAGCACATGTAGGCCTCTTATGCACATTCAGGCTTACTGCACCCTCTTCAAACCTGCACTCTGTTCCCTTCCTGTATCCCAAAGGATAGCTGAGTATAGACACACCTAATAAATTTGTCATGAATTACTAAATGTTGGTGACAAAGTAATGCCACCTCTTCATCCTCTCTTTCCTTTCCACCTCCTATGTGGGTACATCATGCCCACTTTTAAACATGTGAAAACTACAAAACAGTTACAATGAGCTAGAAGGCTATTACTTAAGTGATTTAAGATGGAGAAAGTAGATATGAAAATCTCAGCTTGGGAAGCTACTGAAATTCATGATGAAAATTTTTGAACATTGAGTTTCCAGGCAGAAGGGAAGGGAAAACAGAAAGTGTTCAGGGGAGGACAAATTTTCCCTGAATCTAAAGTTTTAGAAAAAAATTTATTGTAGGTATATTTTTAGGCATATAAATGAGATGGTAGATAATATCTTCAGTTCAGTGAGATAAAGT